AGGGCCACAATTCAGCCGCATCAATCTTCAGTCTTCCTTAGTCAATGTCCGACTTTCACATGAACACGAGGCGACGGAAAATACCATGGCTGGGTCAGGCGAACCTTAGCCCTCAATCCTTTTTAGTACTCTAAATCAATACTCCAGCCAGTACAACTATTAGTCAAAATTCTGCCCCAACCACTAAAGCTGGTGATGAAGAATTCTACCAACATCTTCCGTCTGAAATTGATCAAACATGCAATCAAGATGCATTGATAATTACTGCAAACGTTGTGAGGATTAAATTAATTCCTAGAGAAGAGTAAACATGACCTAAACTTTAGCTATGTTACCTGTAACTCGTCAGAAAGTCTGGGTTCTCACTGGTCTTTTCTTGAAGCAAGTATTTACTAAGAATTTGACTCTAGAACCTTATTTATTCTCTCTTTTCTCCAAACACTCTATAACCGCTGTTGTGAGGTACCTACCGTCCAGTCAACGACTCATAGTGACCACTTCTGAGTAGCTTTAAAATCAGGGCTACCTCCTTTCACCATTGACAGTGGCTGCAAGAATGGGCCCAAACATCGTGAAGATGGCCCAGGACCAGTTGCTGTGTGGCAAAAATGACTTGATAAGAGCTAACCATAGAGCAGGAGAGTCCAGTCCCTAAGGAAGGACACCATGCTTGGTAAAGTAGCAGGGCAACGAAAATGAGGAAGGCTCTCAACACGATGGATTGACACTGTGGCTGCAACAATGGGTCCAAACATAACAACTGTCAAAATGGTACAGGGCAGAACCGTGTATGGTTGTTTTGCAAAGAGCCTGCTGTGACCGATTCCACTGTACCTAACAGAGTTCCACAGCTAGTTACTCCTGGAGCTGGAATTCGAACCCATGCTTTTTAATCCCGTATTACAATGCTGGGCAGTCCTCGTCGACTTCTAGTCACTGTCTACAAGAGAAGGGGCGCTGATGATGCTGCGGGTTAATCGCTGAACTGAACCTGCCATATCAGCGGTTCAAACCCACCTGCTGCTCGGGAACTGTCTGAAATCTTAGAAACCCTAAGGGGCAGATTATACTCGGTCCTATAGGGGCGTTTGGGGTTGGGACCGACTTGGTGGCAGTGGAATAGTCTACAACAGAGCTGCACCAAGGGCTCGTCCCGTGTACATGGGTGTGGGGGAGAACAGATGACTACCTCTGATATTCACAGGCCTGCCCCAGACCAGCCAACTCCTTTGACCCTAAAGTGCGGGATCCAGTGAACTAAGCGGCGTGGGAAGCGCCTTCCTTGCAGCGCCTGGCACATAGAACCACCAGTTCGAGAAGCAACACGGCCACGCGGCGCTGGAACCTGGACCGGTGCTGGATGCCCCGCACCTCCGCGATGGCGGGACATCGAGCCTGCAGCGCACACGGGGCTCCTCCCAGGGTGGCCAGGCCTGAGCAGACAGACGCGCAGCCCCGCCGCACGTGCCCGCCCCACATCGCCGCCGCCCATCACCTCCGAGGCCCCCGCTCCCCGCCGTCAGCAGCTCCTTGGATACAGACACGCCGGGGCCGCCCGGAGAGGACGAAGAACAGCTCGTTGGGCTGGGCTGCCGTTCACCTGGGACCTCCATGCTTCTCAGTGCCGTGCCCCGAGCGGACACAGGCCGGATACCGGAAAGAAGCGCTGGTAGAAGGCGGGATCAAGGGCTGCCATTGGAGGAAACCCGGCGGTGGGCGGGGAGAGGGCGGGGCTTGCGTTGGCGCCACCTGGTGGAACGACGCTGTGGCGCGGAAACGCCGGCCGTTCCCACCACCCGTCCCTCTGGAAGAGAGAGGATGGGACTCTTGCTTCAGTCCTTGGAACGGAGCCAGTGAGGTATCATTTAGCCAGACAAAAGGTGTAAATTCTGCCACGAAGAGCGCAGCTTGGTTAATATTCATTGACCATTTGCAGCAGCTTGGTTAATATTTATTGACCATTTGCAGCCGCGGGAGGAAGAGTTACAGTCTTAGAAACCCACCGGGACAAGTTCTCCCCTGTCCTGTAGGATCGCTATGAGAAGGAATCGACTTGATGGCAATTAATTTGGTTTTTCGGTTTTTTAGTATGCCCAGACCTCATCTCGACGTGGCCTGAGTTCACAAAAGCAAACCCTCCCCCTTTTTAAAAAATCATTTTATTGGGGGCTCTTACAACTCTTAACATACATATACATCAATTGTGTAAAGCACACTTGTACATTCATTGCCCTCATCATTCTCAAAACATTTGCTCTCCACGTAAGCCCCTGGCATCAGGTTCTCATGTTTTTCCCCTCCCTCCCCCCTCCCCCTTCCTCATGAGCCCTTGATAATTTATAAATGATCATTGTCATATCTTGCCCTGTCCGACATCTCCCTTCACCCACTTCTCTGTTGTCTGTCCTCCAGGGAGGAGGTTATATGTAGATCCCGGTAATTGGTTCCCCACAAAACATCTTAAAAAATTTTTTTATTGGGAGCTCCTACAGTTTTATAAGATTCTATACATCAATTGTATCAAGCATATTTGTACATAAGTTGCCTTCATCATTTTCTAAACATTTATGTACTTTCTATTTGAGCTCTTAGTATCAGCTTCTCTTTTTTCCTTCCCTCCTCCATCCTCCCACCCTCATGAACCCTTGATAAATTATAAATTATTATTGTTTTCATAACTTACCAACCACTGTCTCTCTTCACCCACGTTTCTGTTGTTCATCATCCTGGGAGGAGGGGGTATGTTATACATCGATCATTGCGACTGGTTTCTCCTTCCTCCCCTCCTCCCCTCCCCTCCCCCCTACTCTCCTGGTATTGCCACTCCCATTTCTGTTCCTGAGGGGTTTATCTGACCTGGATTCCATGGTCAGCTCTTATCTGTATTGGATTCTATGTGTCTTGGTGAGCTCTTATCTGTACCAGTTTACATGCTCCAGTCTAGCCAGAACTGAAAGGCACAACTGGGGTCATGATTGTGGAGGGTGAGGAAGCCTCAAAGAGCCAGAGGAATGTTGTGTGTTTCATTAGTGCTATACTGTGCCCTTGTTGACTCCTTATGACCCTTCTGTGAGTGGATGCCTTATTGTCTACAGATGAGTTTTGGGTCTCTGCTCTGACCACCCTAGTTCTCAACAAAATGCTTTTGTTTGTTTTGGGGGGAGGTCTTCTGGTGCCTGTTACCTGAGCCCATTGACACCTCATGATTACACAGGCTGGTGTGATTCTTCCATGTGGGCTTGTTGCTTCTCTGCTAGATGGCCGCTTAAACTTCAAGCCTTTAAGACCCCAGCCTATCTTTTGATAGCCGTGCACCATCAGCTTTCTTCATCACATTTGCTTCTGCACCCATTTTGTCTTTAGCTATAGTTTCGGGAGGGTGAGCATCACAGAATTCCAGGTTGTTAGAACAAAGTGTTCTTGTGTTGAGCGAGGCCTTGGGCAGAGGGCCAAAGTCCATCCATTTCCTCAATGTATTGCCATGTAAATATATGTACATAGGTCAATACCTCTATTTTTATGAATTAATATATTGACATAAGTGCACACCTATGTTTATATACTTCTATCCATAGCTTTGCTTCCCAGATCTTTCCTCTGTTTCTTTTTACCTTCCTCCTGCCCCACCATCTTGCTTGCCCTTCTGCTGCCTCTTAGTAATTCCTCTCAGCTAGATAGCCAAGCTCTTTTTTTTTAAATCATTTTACTGGGGGCTCATACAACTCTTATCACAATCCATCCATCCATTGTGTCAAGCACATTTGTACATTTGTTGCCATCGTCATTCTCAAAAAGTTTTCTTTCTGCTTGAGCCTCTGGTATCAGCTCCTCATTTCCCCCCTCCCTCCCCCACCCTCCTGCCCTCATGAACCCTTGATAATTTATAAATTATTATAATATTTTTAAGTCTTACATTGACTGATGTCTCCCTTCACCCACTTTCCTGTTGTCCATCCCCCAGGGAGGGGTTATATGTAGATCAAGATCATTGTGATCCGTTTCCCCCTTTCTCCCCCCACCTTCCCCTTCCCCTCCTGGCATCACTATTCTCAATATTGGTCCTGAGGGGTTTATCTGTCCTGGATTCCCTGTGTTTCCAGCTCTTATCTGTACCTGTGTACATGCTCTGGTCTAGCCGGATTTGTAAGGTAGAATTGGGGTCACGATTTGGTGGGTGGTAGGAGGAAGCATTAAAGAACTAGAGGAAAGTTATATGTTTCAACGGTGCTATACTGCACTGACTGGCTTGTCTCCTCCCTTCCACCCTTCTGTAAGGGGATGTCCAATTGTCTACAGATGGACTTTGAGTCTCCACTCCGCACTCCCCCTAATTCACAATGATATGATTTTTTGTTCTGAGTCTTGGATGCCTGATACCTGATCCTATCAACAGATAGCCAAACTCTTAAAACTACTTCACTCTGCTTGTTTCTAGCTTCAGCGTCAGCCAGAGTAAATCTGATCCCAGATCAATCATTTGTCACCAGTGACCTTGAACCTCAGTTTTCACCTCTGTTAAATGCACATAATAATACCTTCACAGCTTGTCCTAAGGGATAAAAGAAGAAGGGGACTAGGATGTCTGTAGTGGCACTGGAAGGCATATTATTGTTGTAATCATCATAGTAAGTTAACATAAGCAAATTATTAAACATAGGGCACAAATAATTATGGGGAAGATTATAGTAGGTACTCCAGGGGGAAACAATGATTAATGCATTTGTTAAAAATCAGTCTTTTTCACTCCTAGTTAAAACTTGGAAGTGCATACCCTCCAGGCAGGAACAGTGTCATTTTTCTTTGTATTCCCAGTACCACACTTGGGGCTGGGCTCATAGTTCATGATGAATTCACGTTAGATGAGTGAACACAAAAATAAGGAAGGCAAACAAATGAATATTTTTAATGGACTCTTCACTGTTTGTCCATTGGAAAGTCTTCCCACCTCAGTTGACTGGGTTTCTAGCCTCTAGAAATGTCCTCAATTCTCTTTTGTAAATTGTTGATTGAATGTGAGACAGAATCACCTTAGGGGACCATCTCTGGTTCTTAACGATGACTTGAATTTGAGATAATTATATCTGGCCAAGACAGAGTAGAAGACAGAATGGCAACATTCACTGTGATAGCCCAGGTGGCATCAGTAGGAACTAACCACTAGGTGACCATTTGAACCCACCAGCTGCTGGGGAGAGACCAGTGAGGTTTTCTTCTCCTATGAAGATTTACAGCCTTGGAAACCCAAAGGGGCAGTTACATTCTAGGGCCGCTATGAATTGGAATAAAATAGATGGCAATGAGTTTGACTTTGATAGTTAAAAGTTTTGTGTTATTTTGTCTAGTCTAGGATTCTCAATAGTTTGGCAGCTGAGAATTAGTCATTCCCCACGATGAAATCTGACAATGTCCCACTGCTATTCATAAGGTTTTCAGTGGCTAATTCTTCAGAAGTGGACAGCCTATTCCTTCTTTCTCCATAGGGTTAAAGGCACCTAACACAACAATTTGACAAGTCTAATATGCTAAAATTAATTTTATGATGAAATCTTCTATGAGTAATCAACTGAAAAAATTTCCTCAGGGTGCTGCCTACGTCCAATAAATGTGAGTGCTGTGGAAAAGCTCAGTGGTTTTTTTGGTATAGCTGGCTCATCATTTGATCTCCAGTTCTGTAGATTTCAGCCAGCAGCCTGCTATAATGCTTGCCAATCTTGAGCGTGGTCTGCAGCCTAGCATTCTACCTGCCAATTTTGGATTCACTAGTTTCTGCAGCCAGAATCCTGCCATCTGACCTGACGATTTTGGGCTCATTAGCACGTACAGCTACATGAGTTAGAAGCCTCCAGGCTGACATCTGTCCCATGATCTTAAAACTTACCTACCTCTCCAACTGAGCCATTTCCTTTACATCAATCTCTGCATAGATACATGCTTCACTGGTTCTGTAACCAGATTCCAGAGGCCCCAGAAGGCTCAAAGGATTCTTGTTCACCTCATTTAAGAATAACAATATAGCTTCAGAATTTATTGAGACAATGTTTATTTTTACTTCTGGAAATAAAAATAGAAGCCACTTTAGCCCAAGCAGCTTTAGCAACTGCTTCTTCAAAGAGAAACTTACAAATATTTGTAAAGGGTTTTAGTTAGGGCAATCTCCTGTATACTCATTAGAAATGTTATTAGGTACTGTTGAATCAGCATCGATTCATAGTGACCCTATGCACAGTTCTTTGGATGGAATGAAATATTGCTATGTCTTGGGAAAACCATTGTGAAAAGAATACCAGAACAGTAGTTCAAAACCACCAGTGCAGAACCCAAATCAGGAACTCCCCAGAGGCCAACAGAGTGAGCGGGGGCCTTGGCCCTGCCTTTATACCCCTCCTGAATTACTGGATGGGGCGTGGTTGGGGTATTGGCCTACCTTATTGGCTGAGTTCAGGTGCACCTGTGTGAAACACTTCGTAGGTTTTGTTGTTTGTTTGTCTTAATGGGCATTGATGATTAATCCAATAGAACTTCAATCTAGATTTCAAATCCAGAATGTGAGAAATCTCACAGGATAAGTCATCTATTTCAGTCAATAAATGAGTGATATGAAAAAAGATATGAAGAAATGAACTGTTAGAAAATA